GGGGGGGGGGGGGTAATACAGGCGCGGCGCGGCAGGGTGAGGATGAGGATCAGGATGAGGATCAGATTGGTGGATTACCTGGTCTGCGCGCGACACGTGAGTCAGGTTTGCAGCTCAAGGGCGCTTGCGCCACATGTGGCGCAGCAGCTTTACCGCATACAGACGAATTTCCGTCGTAGCATGCATACACTGCAGTGCGCCTGACCGTGCCCCTTGCGACACGGCACCTCACTGAACACCTGCTTTAGGGCACTCGGCGCAAGTCAGCTGGTGACGTCCATCAGACGGCGCCTGTCCTTTGCAACGTGACGCCGCACACAGCAGCATATAAAGCACTTGCGACGCCAGTTTGTCCACGATACGTACAGCTGTCGACCCCTCGATCGCGATCTACAGTATAAGCTGTACGGCGTTGCAATGAGCCGACGCCGCGGACCTGATGGATACGGAGGAGTGAGTTGGATATATCTGCCGCAGCCGGGACTATGTCTGATTGTTGCCGCGTGCGTGCTGGGCAGGTGAGCATGACGCTGCGCCTGCCGCTGTTGATGCAAGCCGTTCCAGCAGCATGAACGCACCGCCGCAGGGCGGCGACGACGCGTATGGCGACCGCCCCGCGCGCCGGCAAAAGGTGCAGCCGCTGCCGGCGGCGCAGGCAGCATATGCGGCGGCGCTGGCGGCGTCGGCCGCGTCCGCCGGCCCCATCCTGCGCTGCGAGCTGTGTCAGGTGCGCCCCTGCCTGCCCGCGCTGCAAGACCACGGCCGCCGCTGCTTTGCAGCTGCCGCGATTTTTCCCACACCTCATCGCAGCCGCGGCGGCGGCTGCGCGGCTTCCGACGGAAGTGCCACGCCTCGACAGGCGCCTGGGCTGCTGCGGTCGGGCGCACGCGTGACGCAGCTTTTGTGCGGCGCATGCAACTTGGCCCCGCAGGCGTCGTTTGCGACGGATGCGCAATTGGCGCAGCATATAGAGGGCCCGGTCCATAAGAAAGCAGCCGCCAAGGCCGCGGATGCAGCCGCGAAGCGCCAGCACGCGTCACAATACGAGGACATGGCAAAAGCCGCGCTGCAGGCCGCGGCGTGGCAGGGCGCCGCCGGCGGCGGCAGCAGGGCCGGCGGCGGGAGCGGCGGCGGCGGGGGGCCGCGGCGACAGGCGGCGCAGCAGCAGCAGCAGCAGCAGCAGGGGCGGGGGCGTGGGCGGTGGCAGCAGGCGCAGGAGCAGCGGCCGGCGGCGCGGCGGGCGGGCGAGGTGTACAGCCACGAGCAGGCGCTGGCGGCGGCCAGGGGCGGCGCGGACGAGCTGAGCATCGACGGTGGGCTGGATGGGGGGGGGGGGAAGGGACGACGGCGACCTGTTTTGGGCAGACAGATGCTGTTGGTGGGCCGCAGGAATGACAGCTTGAATGCCACCAGTCTCAAGTCATGGCACAAAGATGCGGGGCGGGTCGCTTCTCTGGGGCCTAGACCGCCGCGGGGCAGGCGGCGCCAGCCCACTGTGCGCATGCATGGTGCGGCGGGGGCGGGGCCGGTGGTTTGATGGGCTGAGACGCTCGCACTCGCAAGCCCAGCCTGACAAGCCGCGCTGTGCCAACGACACGACGCGTAGGTTGGGTGCCGCCCACCATAGCGGCGGCTGCGGCCCCCGTGGC